GCCAGGGAGGCAGAAGAACAGCACATCAGGAAGGCCCTGAGTAAATGTGGTTATCCCAGCTGGGGGGCTTTTGTCAAAGCTGGAAAGGCACCTAAAGAAAGCTGATCCAGGAGAGAAGGACAACTGCTGCTCAAGCGAAAACCTGTAGTGATCCCATATGTGTCAGGAGTATCAGAGCAGTTGAGACGCATTTTTTCTAAACACCACATCTCTGTGGCTTTTAAACCCCAAAACACGCTGCGCCAAAAATTGGTCCAGGAAGGACAGGAAGGAACGCTGGTTTGAGCGCGGAGTCAAGGAGGCCATTTACGTGAAAAGGGAAAGACCATCTCTGAATCGAGGAGGGGGCCTAAGGGTACATCTTTCACCATCTTACATTGCTGTGATGTGCAGCCATTCCCCAACTCTCTGTGAATGGTACTCATGGCCATTGATCAGTGGTCTTTGATCAGTGGGTTTTGGTCAGTGGTTGTTGATCAATGGTCATAAGAATGTGCATAATTAAGGTTAAGGAACTGTCCTCCCAGCCCATTGTTCCTTCAGTGGGCTGGTTTCAGTCATTATGCAATGTACTGTTTATAAGATTGGGGAAACCTGCAGTCAGCTGAGACTGAAGAAGTCACTTGGATGAGTGATTAAACGTTTCTCCCACTGAAAACGTTATGTCCAGATAAACAGAATCAACCTTTGGGATTTACTTACCTGGATGATTGAGCATGCATCAAGACGAATTAGTTCTATGTGTTCCTTTTCTTTTTATGTAATATAAATACTCTATGGCAATACTGAAATAAATTAAAAGAATGAAAGAAGATTTCTTCTAGAGGTTACAAAGCTACAAAATATTTTTTTAGTGTCAGTTTATAGTCTTTCTCTGAGTGTGCACTCAGTTGCTTCAGTGTTGTGAGTATGTGACTTATGCAGTAATATATGGATTACATTTAGCATATGGGACTTTTTCATAGATGAATACCACTGTTTCTTTGGGTTGATGTGAGGACGTACAGATCTGTCTTTACTAAAAATAACAACCTTGACGTCATTCTCTCTTTGGTTAGGGTGCTGCAGCCGAAAACTGAGAGAATTTAAACCTCAGCTTTCACACCCCAGTGCATCACTGGGCTCACAGTAATTTCCCCACATGCTTCCAGAAATAGAGTGTTTATTTGTGATAACACGCTTTCTAATTTTCTGTTCTGCTTTCTCTATGGCCTTATCAGAAGCAAGCATTTAACACAACAAATGAGAAAAAATGCATAGTAAGTTATTAATACATTTTATACTATTAGTTCAGATGTTATCAAAGTTATTTTAAAATCAGATAGAAAAATTACTGTTGACCTTGTAGCAGCAGAAGAAACTCAACAAACTGTATTTAGATATGTTTAGTGGTGGATAATCTGCTGATAACAGGCAAGTTTCTCCTTTGCCTTTGAGTTAATTCCAGGTTATTTTATTTTCATCATGCATATTTTCAAAATATCATTGCACCCTCAAACGTACCTGAATGCACTCTGTTCCTTTAACTGCCCTGCTTTTGTCAGATTTTACAAATTTACCCACACAGAACATGTGCATTTATTCCACGATTAGATCTTGCACAGTGAACCAGTCACTTCCTGTGCATAGACAATGAGCTGTTAAAATCAAAAATAGCTCACTGGTTCAAATGTGCCATTTCAAAATGGCACAAAGACAAGTTAAATACAACATATATCTTTAAAGTAGACATTGAATTGAATCTAAACAAGTGAAAATGTAAGTTGCGTTTGTGTCTGTTTGACAAGTTTATTGTTTCTGGAAGTAAAATGATGATGAGTTGCTTAATTGCATTTAATTAGTAAAAATTGCACTCTGACAATTAAGTTTAGGTTCCTCAAAATGGATAGAGTTGGAATTATCAGAAACGTTTTGACTATATTATTATTATTATTGTTGTTGTTGTTGTTGTTATTGTTGTTGTTGTTATTGTTGTTGTTGTTCCATCCATTGGGGGATAGAGGTGGGCTGAAAACTGCACAGTTCACCCATCTATCAAAGGGCTAACATAGAGAGACAAACAGCCATTTGAGCTCACATTCACATTCACATTCACGCCTAAAGTCAATTTTAAAATCACCAATTAACTTAACATGCAGGTCTTTAGATTGTGGAAGAAAGGCGCAGAAGTCACACAGGAAACACGGAGCGCATGTCACTGTACACACAAAGGCCCTGGTCAGCCACTGGATTTGAAACTAGTGTGGTAGTATAGTGCATACCAATAACTGTCCCACCCATTATTATTTATTAATTTAGAGTTTAGTAAAACCTAGATAAGGTAAATATAAAATAAAATCCATGTGTTACATATTAAATGTAATGTGCAATATGTGGGTATCCTTATTAATTTCCGGTAATACTTCTCAGAAATGAGCCTTTGCTCCATGGCACACTGATCTATTCTCCACAGATGTTTTGGTGTTTTATAAATAAACAATATTTTGAAAAAAATATGGAATCATATTAAGATATCACTATCTTACGTGTTGTTAGTTCAACTGGGAAGAAAAAAGGGTACAGATTATTGTAGTGAGATAAAGTGCTCATGGAGAACTGAAACTAACTAACATGTCACAAAGAAAAGCATATTTTATTAAAGAAAAAACAATTAGAAGGCTGTGCTTCTGTCTGCAGTCAGAGGCAAGTGGGTGGTCCCTTTGAGGGGGATTTGAAAGTAAAAATCTGAAAGACTCAGACACAGACAACACAAGTGTTTTGTAGCCTTATATTAATCAGCCTTATATAAATCAGCCAGACAGCAGGTAAGATATTTATATGATTATATGATTATTAGATAACAAGTCTTGAAAAATAGTTCTCTGAAGGACATCTTTGGACATTGGCTAAATGGGCATTGAAAGAGGAAGGAACAAAAGAAAGCATTCAGTGTCCTTCAAGGAGCCTTGAGAACTATTGCTTAAGACTTCTTAGTGAAATAACAAGAAAGTGTGCATAAACGAGTAAAGGCTGTGTTGGAGAATAAAGGTGTTCAAACTAAATATCAACTTTAAGTTTGTTAGAATTGCAAAAACTTATTTTTGCTTTATGTGCTGTATTTCCATGTGTTGGTAAATATTTTAGTAAATATCTGCACTTATTTCTCATTTTCCTAGTAAAATATAGAGAAATGAACAGTGGCTCAAGACTGTTGTGCAATACTGTAGCTTATGTAACTTACTAAGAATTTCACAGTAATGAATGATGTCAAAGCATGCATAGAGATACTGCCAGATTTGAAGCTCTGACCTGGTCATGTCTATTTTTTTTATATATTTTATAGTCACTGAAGATTCTAAGAACCCCTGATAACTTCTTACAGTTTGATGTTAAATGGAAAAGACTTTAAATATACAAAGATAAGGAACTACTGAGGGTAGTGAGCGATTTGCTGCATACAAGTAAAAATAAAACAGGCAAAATATAAAAGACAGAGGCAAGGCAGTGATAAAATACAGAGAGTATATATAGTAATACATATGAAAATCTTAATTATTTGAATTTCATATGAGTATATTTTTCAAGTTGCTTCATTTTTGACAGCTAATTTGTTCAGTTCATTTATTTTTCCAGTGTGTTACACAAAGGAGAAGCATGGACAAAGAGGCAAAGTTTATGATAACTTGTCTGATTTCTACAGGTAATGAGCCAGCTTTTTATTTACAATTGTTTTATAAGTGCTCTATACCTTTATAAGTGACATTCGCTTAATTCTCTTTCAGTCATCTGTAGTTCCGCGTCCAGTGCTGAATGGAAGGCCAATGTTGTAAAAAGCATTGACGCTCTGGTTGAATCCTGTGTTGTGGTACCATGTTCATTCTCCCATACTGGAGGAAACCTGCCCACGTCCAGACTCAGAGCAATGTGGCACTATAAAGGAAAAACACCAGATACTAAAGGAAACAACATCTTTCATAGTGATGCTACACTGATTAAGGACAACTTTAAGCGCCGAACAAAGATGTTGGGAGAGCTGGGCCAGAACAACTGCACCTTAGAAATAACTGGAGTTAAAGATCATGACAATGGCCCTTTCTGTTTCAGAGTTGAACTAGTAAAAGGAGAAGACAATGAACCCACAACGGACATGTTCTCCTTTGTTGAAGACTGCGTCGAGTTGAACATGATCAGTATGTCACCGACTTTCCACCTTCCAATTCCAAATATCTATACCAGTTTTCTGTTAAATCACTTTGCCTCTTACTGTATGTCTGCCTTTTTCATCTTCAGCTGACCCTGCAGAGCCTACATTGATTCAGCCAATGGCAGCCACTCAAGGAGAGCCCTACACTGTCATCTGTTCAGTCATGCACACCTGTCCAACCCATGTACCTACACTTACATGGAACTGGAAGAAAGAAAGGATCATTGTGTACCATAGACTAATTCATTCTGGCAACTGGGAGACACAGTCCATCCTGACATTTATTCCTGAGGAGAAGGATGACAACAGAGAGCTGACATGCACAGCTGATTTTAATGGAGGGCAAACATCCTCCTCAAAATTCACACTGAATGTAAAACGTGAGATCCTTTCAGTTCTTCACTTCTAATATGTTGGTTCACCTTAACTTTGCATGATTAGGAAAATGTTAACATCACTGTTAAAAGTATCTTTCAATGACTGTATGCATTCTTAATGATGTCATAAATTCTGTCTATTTCCAGGTATTGAGAACTATAATCTCATCATCATTCCTGCTGTAGTGGGGATTGGTACAGCTCTACTCTTTGGCATCTTCTGCATTTTCATGGCAAAAAAATACAAGTGAGTCATTTTATAGAGAATCAAGCTTTCTGTTAACAAGGAGGAGACATTTTTCCTCTCATCAGTTCTACAGTACGCTCTTTAATATAAGTTTTTTTTGTTCTGTTTAAGAAACCGCATTGCAGAGCTTCAAAATCAAGAAGGAACGTAAGTAGAAAAATATTCTGGATCAGATGCAGTTGGTTTCTGAGACTGTCATCATATATGATAACAATATAATGATTGTTTTTATTTATCACAGCATGTGGAACAGGCTTTCCAGATTATCTCGCAGGTGAGAAAAAAATGTTTCTTTTCTTTTGTTTTTACAGTTTGGAGCATTAAATACACATGTATCTTTTTTTTTAAATTACAAAATCTTTGGAATTGTACATCCACACACATCTTCAAGATTACATTTCTAATTAAATTAAATCATTCAAGCCATTCTGATTAAAGGCCAAAGGGATTTTTGGTTTTTGGTTCTCCACTTACTTCACCACTAACTTTCCGTGCACAAATGCCTCAATGGTCTCACAGTCATTTCAAGCAACAGGGCAGATTTGTTTTTCTTTGTTGTTTTTGATACTAAATTTAAAATGATATCTCATTTTCTGTTCTTGTTTGTCTGTGGTTTCATCAGGGGAAGACGCTGAAGGTGAGATATGAAAAATGAATGCTTCTTTAAGACACATTTATTATGTTATTGCTTGATTACTTATGTTATTACTCTTGAATTTCATTTCTCTTGAAGTTAAAGCTCTTTTCAGCATTATTTACAGTCCTGATTTCATCATATTTTTTTAAAATTATAAAAATTAAATGCAAGTAAAATAGTCTGATCATAAGAGTCGAATTAGGTTTGCAGGAGTCCTCTTCGCAGTGGTTGATTTCACTTCCCCTTCATTTTACAAAGTCTTAGAAACTGATGTAGAGTTAGAGACACATTATGCATTTTGTTTTTCTTCTTAGTTGTTTTTCACTTTTGAAAGTTCCTTGTGTCTCATGCTTTGTTATTCCTCACATCTTTGAAGGCTTCCAGTCTACTGTATCAAAGGACAGAAACAGAATAGTCCTGTTCCCTTCTGTGTCTGTATCTTGTTCCTTTGCTTGAATTTAAAATCGCACGTATATACTTCAAACCTGTATTTTCTTATTTTTCAGACAATGAAATGAAATCAAGAAGGGGACCAAATGCAAATGGTTACATTCTGCTTTCCATTTGCATATCACCTTCAGGAAAATATGTTAGAAAAATGTTTAAAAAAAAAAAACACACAAAAATGTAATATAAAAAGGCTTTTTCTTCAGCAGATAGCTTCTACCCTTTTTTATTAACTAGTATGATCCTTTCTCTTTGTATTCATGCTTGAAAGGATGCGCTATCATGTGATAGATGATTTATACCAGAAATGTTAACTGAGCATGTAGCAATGTAAGCCCACCACTTCCTGTTTTCTAAACAGATGTATCAATACTGTAAGCCTATTTTTCAAGAATAAATCTTCTTT